TTAGCATCAATTTTGCGTCGAATTATATATTTGGCGCCAAATCGACGCAACTTAGATGATAATTTAGCGTCGGCTATATTCGATGCTAGATTTCGACGCTAAATCATTGTTTTCTTGTAGTGCTAAAAGAAAATGGATATAATTTGGTGCCTTGGATATCTTTGGAAAATTGCATTACAATTGGGTGACTCTTTTTATTGATTTTTCATTAGATTACTGTTTGCTTAGATTTTTCGGTGTTTTTTTATGTTGTATCAAGAGATTTTCATCAATGGTGAACTTTTTCTTACGTTTTCCTCCTAGTGTGAAGTAAGGATCTACATCCAGAACCTCAATAATTTCACTTTGTAGAATGTGTCTTATGATTTAATGATAAATCACCAATCTTTTATGAAGATATAAAGACCTTATAGAGAGACCTTGGATTGATTATGAAATCATTCTTGTGTTTCCTTCTTGTTGTAGGAGAAGGAACATCATCGAAAATTCTAATTGTTAACATATGAAGAGATCTAATAAGTGAATTCACTCAACCTATCATAACTTGTGCAAGAGATATATAGTTTCTCTCTCTGCTAATGAAAGTGAAATTTTTTTTTGTGTATGGTAAAATGTGATTTTGTAACTTAAGTAGATATGATAACAAAATAAGGCAGAAGTAATATTGAATATTAGCAAACTTTGTAATCTTAATGTGTAATATAATCTCTGTGGAAAAAGGTTTTTTTATTGTAATATACCAATCCGACCATTTATGTCAGTTTTATACGAAACGAGTGTCGTCGTGCTTTATATAAGGGTTCATCTTGCTAATTAGCTCTGCCTCTGATAATTTTAGTTTATAAGACCATTAACAATGGAGGTGTTGAAAAAAAATTTCAACAGATATTTCATACAATGAAGTTGTTGAATAATGTGGAAAATACATGTGGATTAAATTGTGTTGAATTGATTCAACACGTTGAATGAAAAGAAAATGGGGCATGCGTTGCCACTTGTTGAATTGTGAGAGGAGTTGTACGCAGAAGCTGTGAATTTTTGATAATTACGCATGCTCTA